CCAGTAGTCACCACTCCGATGGTCACTGTACAGTCCCACCTGGCAAACCACAGCCTTCAAACTACATGGGCTGGGAAAAACATGCAGTGACCAGGTAACCAAGGCATTAGGTTGATGATAAGGAGACCTGCCTATTCTTTTTTTTTTTTTTTAAAAAAAAAAACACCTAGTTTTGCCACTTTTGCCTTTGAACAAGCCACTTCTCCTCAGTTTTCCACTTATAGTCAGAATACTACTACCACCCTCCTCAGTGATGCTCATTGCACATACGGGCGTGAAACCCTGTTTCTCAGTTAGCTATTGTTAGCTATTGTCTGCCCGTGCAGATTCATTAACAGTGAAAATTGTGAAAGTGTGTAAAATACTAAAAATTGCTACTGCAGATCCTTGCGTGAAATGAAAAATAAAGCCACGATACCACCTTACCACCATTACCGCTGCTACTGGATCTGGGCACTCCAGATCACCTGGCAGGACAGATGGGATACAGTAAGGAGAGGATTCGCATTTTGGGCAGATTATCTAGAACAAATAATAACATTTTTTCCACTCTGATACTTGCTGATATTCCACCTTTACCTACCAGAAGTTAGAGGGCTCAGACAAACCAGTGCCTCATTTGGCATGAAGTCCGCCGCAGTGGGATGATCCTTTTACGCATTTTTAATACACTTTGGGCAGCAGAATGAGTTGGTATGGGTTCAGCACTTTATGTGACCTAGCCACGACAGTTTTGATCTATGAGGTGCCACCCTAAAGTCAAGGTTGCTATCTTGTGAAACTCATCCTTCAATGAAATCAAGCATCTTAGCTCTGCCAGAAACCTCTACCAAAGTGGACGTCCTTTTAACATCATTTCCTCTAATGCCCCATGCTAACTGTTGCTGTTTACTTTAGATTACTGTACGTTCCATATACTTGTCATTCACCGAAGAGCGCTGCCCAGCCGAGAGACATTTTGGTAGCAATGGAGACAATCTCCATTTACTACACATCCTTTGACAAGGGATCTCCAACAGGGAAGGACGAGACGGTGTTCTTCAGCTGCCGATGCACGCAGAGGCCGGCATGTCGACAGGCTGACCAGCTGTGTTCCTGCAGTAACTGCTCAGGGTACGGCAGCGCTTCAGCCGACAACAAAACTTTGCTCTTCAAACGTGCAGCCAGTGCACACGCATTTCTGTTTTCAAAACGGCAAACATCTCTCTCACTTTTGGAAGAGGTTACAATTATCCTTTCTTCAAAAAGTAAACTTGTGGCATTTTTCATAGGTTTGCTACTTTTCGCAAACTGCTGCTCCGTGCATAAAAGGGCAGTGTGAGGGAGCAGGACTGAGATAAGCCCTTTCCCCCACTCAAACTGTGAATTTCTTTCTAATATATATTTTTTTTTTTCTAATCTCACTTGCTCAGATAAGCACACACGTAGCTACTTTCAAACAGAAAGGACGTATTATTGCAAAGCTATCCAAGAGTATTATAAGGCTATGTTTTCTAAGTCAACAACCCTGATCCTCCAGTTCCAGCACTGGTAAAAAAAAAAACCCCACCCTATTAGACTGAGTGAATGAAATTCATTCCAGTGCCATATGCCCACAAAAGTAGCTGAACCACATATGTCATGCATAGGGTCCTCTTTGAAAGCTGAGGCACGCTGTCTTACAGATGGTTCTCCCTCTCGCTCTCACCCGAGAAGAGCTTTTCCAGAGTGTGGAAAGAGTAAAGGCAGTTTTGTGGAATAAATACTGCAATAGATGTCAGCCAGTGTCTTTAGCCCCGATGCCACTACAAAACAATGTTCATATGCTGATCCCCTCCAAAACTGCTTTTACAGATGCTGCCCATCCAGAACTAGTTTTATGGATGTAACTTAGATAAGTTACAGTGGAGCTTAACTTAAACAGCAATTTCAACTGTGATAGGTAGATGGGTTCATGCTCCAGTCTCCCCAGTGCACTCAGCTTTGCTTCTGCTTCCCCTGCTGTAACTGTAGCTTTCATAAAAGATGTGTGTTGCCAGTTGTCTTTGCTGCCTTTTCTCACTGCTTGAAAAAAATAAACTCTTCCCCCCCATAAACCAGAAAAAAATCTTTTATTAACAACATTTAAGAACAGAAAAATACTTTGTTGGAACCAGATAACCTCTCAAAAACACCACAGCCTCACATACCAGCTAGCCAAGCAGGCAAGAGACCTTGCGACAACACAGCCCGGCTGTGTTGGCTGCATCATGACTGCCCCACGTCTCTGTGCAATGCAGATGGGAGTCCCCTTCCCCTTCAAACCCACCAAAACAGCCTACTGAGATCTTTTTCCTGGGCAAATTGGACCTTAGATCCAGGAGTCCAGGACTGTTTTCTCCCCATTTCCTCCACTGCCAGGAGTTAAGGCGTACTGAGAAGTGCATCGGCGATTTTCATTACTTTACAGGCCAGGCATGGAGGAACCTTTAGGTCCGGTAAAAGCGAAGGCAGTTTCGAGATCGGGGCTGCTTCAAGACACGATCTTGGTCTCCATTCTGAACTCCCAGTGGCTGGTTCCTGCTGGAGCCACACACAAGAAAATGGTGGTGACCTCAACACTGAACCCAGTGGAGGCACTGCTAAGAGCAGCCTCACGTAGGGCACTGAGGAACCTACCTCTGCCATCAGCTTGACGCAGGGCAGATTCAGAGAGAGAGGGGTGGTCTCCACAACACCTTACCTTCATATCAACAGTGACCAGCAGCATGTCCCATCCATGCTGCCACTAGGTGCTGTGCCACGGCCTGTGGAGAGTGTGGGTTTGTTTTCATTGCTGGAAGATGGGAACAACCTGGGGCTTACAAGTCTCTCTTCAGGGTCTTCCACCAGGATGTGTCCTCGCCATCCAAGTTTCCACAGGGAGGGTGTTGAATCCTCCTGTGACAGCGAATGGTGCGCTGAGCCCCCTTCCCATAGACAGCAGATTTTGTGGCCTCAGGATAATTATCTGGCTAGTTCAATGGAGACAGGCTGGCCAAATGTGGTGGGAAGGTCCAAAACAACCCAGCAGATAAAGGACTTCTTGGTTGCTGAACAGATGTTCATAAGACACTTCACATAAGGTAGTGAAGTACCACAACACAGAAGATTTCGTTTGCTTCTTCCTGACCTACACATCCAATAAAGAGTGACAGGGAATCTGGTCACCATCTTTCATGGGAAAATAAATGACGACTAGGAAATGAATTCCTCAAAGTAATTTTGAAAGCCTCAACTGAACTGTCTAAGATTATTTCTTTCTAAAAACTGACTGTTAGTGTGGAACAAGTTAAGGAATTGCAAACCCTTGCAAGTCGCCTTGATGTCAGTGGGAGTTCTGCACTTACCGCTGGAGCCGGGATTTCACTGTTTGTAAAATGGATTTAAAAGAATAAAAAAAGTATCCAGAATATTAATTGACCATTTAGAAAATCATTGTAAGTGTTTCTCATCAGTGTATATTAACTGCCATAGTTATAACCACCCTGATGGCAAAAAAAAAAAAAAAAAAAATTTATGTAATTCTCTGACTAATTTCCCCCTGCACATGCAAATGAAAACCAATTAAAGGCCACTACAATAGTAACAAATATCTAACCAACAAATGTCAAAGGCTGTAATCTTATCACATTAGTTTTGGAAACCTTTTACATTACTTGCATAATTTAAATATTTACAAAATATAAACTTTCTTGTCTTATCAAAAATAGGTCTTTGCACATTTAAACAACAGAAATCCTTTCACATGATGCTTTTTAAGCCAGGCATTAAATCACTGCATAAAAATAAACAACTTTTCACAGATGTAAAATAAAATTGAGCCAACATATGGAGGGGCAGAAAATGTTATCAATAACAGTTTAAATATTTTAGTGGTGTGAGCCAATCCATAAATTACATTGGGCATTGAACTTACTTAGGATGCAACCTAATCTGAAGCTCTAGCTGCTGCGTCTGTAAGAGAAAACAATGGTTTAAAAAATCTTTCGCATTATGGCAGATTTCTTTGGGCTGAATCTTGTATGGTTAATTGTGAAAATGATGGTGAACTACCAGAGAGATGGTTGAACATGGCAGGTTATTGCATACAGTCCAACAGTGGGGTGATGACCGGCTGAATCACAAATGGTGTGTTCAGATACTGAGGAAATGCCTGTGAAGGATTTTATTTCCTTCAAATACTAAACTGTATTTCTGTCCCTCCTCAGACCCGTCCTTTTTGCATTTGAAAGACAACCTACAAAAAATCCTGAGGTTGCTATTTGGTACACCGTTCATGTTCACCACCAGAGTGGTCCAGCCCCTCTACTCCAGACACAGCTTGCTCCACACCGATGGACCCTCCTCGTCCACCCAGGCAGTGCCCAGCTCTCTGCGGTCACACGTGTTTCTCAGTACCAGATACTCTTCTGCTTGTCATTCAGAAGACAGCTTTCCGAACAGTTGCAAGGCCAATGCTTCATGGTCAAAGCAGAACATTTCCCCTACATTTCCCCTATCTTTGTTTGGTTGGTTTGGTTTGTTTTTGGTTTTTTTTTCCCCCTAATGAACCACCTAGTGGATCCATCTAGGCCCAGTTTTAAAAATAAAGACATAAAGATTATATCTAACGTGTCTTACACGCTCTCTTAACGCTTCAGTCTCTGGCTGACGATATTTTGAGTTTTCTCCACTGCACCTCCTGACCACATGGATCTTCACGACGTTGTGGCTGCTAAAGACTTGGAAAGTTTAGTGTCTGTCCCTGCTCATGGAGTTATCTGTTCAAATAGGTCATCAGGAGTCCTTTTTTGTTATATTACCTGTCCCTGTGTGCAGGCTGCTGTTCTCTCAGTTGCTTTTTCATACACCAAATGCTTGGACTACCCGTTGTTCGGCAATACCCATGCCCCCTGAGGCTGATTCCCTCCCTCGCAGTCCCACACGGTAAGAGTAATTGCTGCCTTGTTGTGCGTACCAAACAGCGCGGGATGATTTGGCTGCGTTTTCTGTACTTAATCTTATTTGCAGGTGTGAACGTCGGTCATGGTCTCGCACCTCCGGCAGCGCACGTAGCAGCACCACACAAACTTGCATTCGCACCTCTCCACGTGCCTGACAACGTGGGTGTTGTACCCGCGCCCACAGCAGAGGAGGTTGCAGCCGTCAGGGCCCTCCGAGGTGCGGTTACATTCCCTTCCCTGAGTCCCTGGGATCCCCAATTTTTGGTCTTCGACACAGTAATTGGGCGATTTGTTCACGTACAGCAGGTCTTCTTTGCCGATCGGTATTTTTCGCTGGCTTTTCTCTTTCCTGCGTAGCTTTTTTTTCAGTCTGTCTGATATTTGTATGCTGTTTTCATACTTATCCTTTAAAAAACGGCCAATCTTTTCAAAGGAGGACATTGTTTTCCAACAAGTTTTCACAGCACAGGACCCAGAAACACCGTGACAACGGCAATCCACCGACATCAGCTTTGCTACAGCCTGAAAGCAAAGGGAGAATGATATTTGGACACAGTCTTTCAGTCATTAGGAATACTGCCTGACGTAAGTAACACAGAGGTCTCAGAGGCATTTAATACTACAGTTGCCATTGCCATTTCAGTGATGGGGATGCCAGAGCACAGGAGGATACATTTTAGGAACCAGGTTCCCAAGTCTGGACCCCTACCATGAGAAGCCTGATCTTCAGAAGTGCCCTGCACTTGCACTTCGCAATGGAGATAACATAGCAATACCGAATCACACTATGAAAGCTTGTACTTTTGGCTGGCGTTTCATGCTGGAGGACCCTAAAGACCTGAAACAACACATCCTGTGTCACTCCTCCCACCACTGGAATGCAAATGGCCCTTGTGAGGAATAGCAGGAGGGGAAGCAGGGGTAGGGCAGGTAACGGCACCGTTCCTACATTGGAAGACATTTACAGGGCAGGTCTATGCCATCTGTTAAGGGTGCCCTGTGGATACCATCAAGATCACTAAACATTCATGAGACAGTCTGTAACTAAGGCCACGGGAATGGCTTGAGGTCACACAACAGTGTCCATGGGACCAGCATGTCTCAGCACCCGAAGCACCCCAACGTACGGCCTGGAGGTGCCTCAGGGCAGACCCATGTTGGAAGAGCAGGAGGATGCCCACATCTCTGTGCTCCATGGAAAGTTTATCAAAGGAGCAACTAGAGCTCAGCAGACGTATCTTCAACTCAGGCATTCTGGAGTAAATCTCAGGTGCTTCTCACTTACAGGACCAAGCCCTCTTCTTGTAATTTAAGCATACAAGTACTGTTGTGGGTTTCTAGTGTTTCCAGTTGCATAGTGGCTCTATTTTACACAATTTGATAGTCATATTACCTTTACAACTTTCAACGTTTTAGCAAAATTTCCACAGTCATTATGAACATTAGGATACCCTTAGATGGGCTACTTTCCCTCACCCATGCAGAAGAAAGCACTGGGCTGCACAGTAACAGTCTGACCAACAATGGGAATCTGCAGCCTGCGTTAAGCTTTTGCAACACACAAGAATTTTGGCTCAGTTTATAGGAGACCAAGCCTCAAAGAACTGGAATCTGTAAACAAGCAGTAACTTTCTTTATCTGGGACTACAACTCAAACAGTCAGCGGACAATCGATATAATACTTCCTTCTGGAACAATTAATAGTATAAAATGATACAATTAGACTTGTGACACATCTCACATTGGAGTTTGGGAAAGTGCACAGAAAAATCGTCGCATGCCCAGATACAGCAAAAGGACAAGGTATTGCACTTTTTGTTTTGTTTTGTTTTGTTTTTACCTTTCTGTTAACATACTCTCTGGAGCCATCCTGTAGACTCATATAGGCTGACGGTTAACTGTGTGGAAAGCTCACATTACCATCTTCCATTTTACTAATGTTTCTCCCCATATTTAATTTCCACAATCAAAGCAATTGGGAAATGTAACAGAAAGCAAGAATTTTAAGTTAACTCATAGTAAGTTTCTCTTGAAACTTCTCCTGCAGCAAGGCTAATACAGATTCAAATTACTCCTCTGTGGAGGAACCACTATTTCCCACAAAACGGGGAAGACAACCCACCCCCTCCAACTTCATGATGTTTATTAAATTTCACCCTAAACCTTCACTTACCTCACACTCCCCACGAATATTAACCGCTGTCAATCTACGTCTTTCTCAAACTGTCTTAAGGAAGAAAAAAACAGAAGACAAATCTATCTAATACCTTCATCTTGTTTCTCCTGAAAAAGTAGTTTCATTTGTGCCTGTTCCTAAGCCTTGATTCTGCAGTGAGATCAGAGCCCTGAAATCCTACTGAACCCCAAAATCCTACTGAGCCCCACTGCCCCTATGCAGGCCCAGAAATAAACTCAAGTCCCTGCTTATCTGTAGCTCAGGCAGCACAAGTGCCATCCTCAAAGTTTCAGAGCTAGCCAAGGCATGGAGCAGATAAAATGAGCTGTTTCTACCCTGTGCGTTAAACTGGGAACTTTCATCGTGGTGAAGGCGGTCACTGAAGTTTGGGACAAGTCCAACGTGGTTAAATCCATTGATTTCAGTGGGAGTTGAGGCCTCCTGGCATGTTCTGCCCCAAAGATATTGACACAAGCCTGAGTTGGTTATTTGCATATAACTCTACAAACATTATTAAAAATACACATGACCAAAATGTTTGCTTGGAGTCACATCTCTGGTGAATGAACAGGACCTATTTGTTGGTAGAGGTTACTACGGAAGCCAAAGCAGCAAAGCATTCAAAGAACCATTAGTAAGAAGGAGCAGGTGTATGTCCTGCCCTACAACAGCCTTTGCAAACCGAACCCGATGAAATGATGCACTGGGACAGGAGGTATTCCCAGGAGCTGTGCACTGCTTTTGGGATTGGAGATTTTTCCCTATCCTGGAAGAAATAAGAACGTTGCAACGAGCAGACCTGCACCCCGGAACACACACAAACCCTTTCAGTGGCAAATCAACCGGCAGTATTTCTTGTAGATACTTATCTTTTCTCCTTCACAGGCTGGTTTCTGTTTAATAGACAGACTTGACCTTGTGCTGGTATCTCAAGAATCTATCAATAAGGAAATCACTAGGTAGTCAGAATTAAGATGTAACAGTGATTGAGGCAGATGAGAATTTGAGATCCAAGGACAGAAAGTCTTTGTTAGAATACAGATAACCTAATAAAATGTCAAGGAAAAGAGAAACACAATGTCAAAAGATAAATTTTACAAACAATTTACAAACAGAAGGGATTTAATAGTGTTTTCCAATTTCTAATGATTAGTTATTTGTATCAAGGCAAGTAACTAGAATCTCAAAGTAGTCTGAAATCACGTTATGCTGTAAGATTTGTAAGGTTACAGGTGTAATCCTTGCTTTCACTGCAGTATGACGGGGTACTAACTAGGGAAGAAACAACAGGGGAAAAATATAGAATTTGGCTTGCGGAAAGAAGCGTGTTTCCAAGCTAAAATCAGGCATAGTAAAACCTGGATGAGGCAGCAGGATCCCGAAATTGTCAGGGGAACCACTGGACATGTCTGCTAGGGGCTAAGGGTGAGTTACTTCCATGTGGGCATCTGGATGAGGCAGCAGGATCCCAAAATTGTCAGGGGAAGCACTGGACATGTCTAGGGTGAGACCCTTAGACAGGGTCTAAGGGTGAGTTACTTCCATGTGGGCAAGTAGCCCAGCAGATGACATGCAGAGTCTCTCTCTGAGGATGAATGAATGAAAACTAAGGGGAGAAAGAGTTTCTAAACAGGAGCAGAAAGTGATGTTGGAATCTCAGGTTGATATCAAAACATAAAAATGCAGCATATACTAGCAGTGTATGGACAATCAGATGAATGCAAGAACTACAAATGTGATTGAGTACAGAAGTATTGAGAACGTCCATAGCAGTTACAAATATTTGTGGTTTTATTCTGTGTTGGTCGGGATTCTCACATGAAGCTTTGATGCACTCTGTTTCAGAATGATTTATGGTGTCATCACAATTGTGCACGACCCTGGGCTATTGCTTCCCATATTTTGGGTTGCCTCTACTGCCAGGACAGGGAGCTGACTTGCTTTGGCTGATCACAAAACATACTGCTGGATCTCAGGCTGCCATGTGAACTTTCATGAACAAATTCCTATAGTTGAATGTCTGGCAAAATTTAGAGACTAGGAATCTTGTCTTGCTATTTTCTTGCAAGCAAACCTAAGATGGTGCCTACAGAGCCAACGCAGCCTTCTGGTGGGACTCCAACACATACCTGTGTCTCAGCAGCGCACGGTGTTACTGGGATGCCCAGAGTTACTGACTTCCAGATGGACTCTGCAACCAGTGCTCAGTTTCACACCTTTAGATTCACACAGTGAATCTTTTCATTTATTCATGAAATTGTGAGAGAATTCTCCCCAAGGAACAAAGAAGTTTCACAGAGAACTTCAGAGGAGCACTGTTACACGGTGGATAGATGTGTCCTTCTGTGGAAGCTGGGACAGGTTTTCAGTTTTCTTAGGCTGGTCAGGAAACCGACTGACTGCTTGTGAGAAATGCTGAGTGTGGAACCGAGCTGGATCCACGAGCGTTGTGATCAGCCACAAGCCCACCTGAGCAGTTCCTCTGGCCCCTATTGCCGCTCGCGGCCCTCAGCCCTGGTGGTACTAACACAGCAAGAGAGTTAAGCGATGGACTGGATACAGTGCTGAACACTGGTGAGTGTTAAAAATGAACCTGAAAAAAGACCTTTTTTAAACCAACTTCCTTTCACCGTTCCAATGCAATTAACAGAGGGAGCAGCATGGGGTGGGAACGCGTGGCTAGAACAGGCGGATGGGCAGAAAGCAGAGCTCGGTCTGCAGCAAAGGAGAGTGTCAGTGGAATCACAGTTTGTATACCCCTTAATGCCAATTAATGCTTAATATCTCCAAGCTAAGCTCTCTGTTTGCAGGCACTGTTCTCAACTGTGAGACAGGGGCTACCAGTACTGGTTTTGCAATGGGAATTGATGCCTGTCATCAAACAGCCTAATTTAAGCCACTGGTAGAACTAATAGGACTATTCATGAAGACAAGCATGTGTCCTACTGAACGTACAGCACTTAAGAACAGTTGCAGACTGTTGGTGGGTCTGCTACCAACCCACAAGTATCAGCAAAAATAAACTCTCCGATGTGCCAAGCTAATTCAATGTGATAACACAAGTCCTGCAGATCAAATAAATTTCCACAAGTGGGAAACCGAGCAGAATTCTTCCATCAGTAAAAAAAATACTAATACAGTAATAGACAACCCATAATGCCTGACTCCCCTCATCCTTTTATATAAGGAGCAGAGGTGCCCAACTCACATATGCACATCTAAGTACACTGAACATTACAATGCTAAAAGATGATGAACATTTATCTTATGGCAGAATAAGGAATGAAATCTGGATCTTCTGAGGTTCCAGTTAGTATCCTAAACAGGGGACAACTCAGCCAAAGGACCTTGCTGTTTTAAAATTGATATATCTTGCATTTAACTATGTGATGTAGAAATGTAAAACAGCGTTTTGTATGGAAATGGGAAAGGAACAAGAGAATTCTGCACATACCAGGTCCATTAGTAACTCCAAACAAACACAGAAGTATTGTCCCTGGAAGACTGCTCTTGCAAGACACAGAACCAGAAACACGATAGTATTTATTACAAAAGGTCATAAGGTACCAAAATATATTGCAAAACATCCTTCTTGTAAGCCCCAAAACTTGAAGGTCAACATTTTCCAACATCTCCTAGTTAAGGATTTTGAAACTACAAAAATGAAGAGTTCTGCTAAACTTTACTTCAGCTCATACTGCTGCTAGAAATCCCAAGTACCAACAATAAACGTTATCTTTCACCCTGGACAGTGGGGAAAATATTTTCTTTATCCTACAGTTTGCCATTAAGTTACAAAATATTTATGCATGGAAGCTGACTAAATACTCCGCATATTTTCTTCCAAGATAATGAACAACAAATACACCATTGATAGAACACCAGTGAAATAAGGGTCTTCTGGCCTTTCAGGCTTGCAGTGGATGGTTTTGTTTGTTTTTGTTTTTTCAAAAACCAGAGTGTCTTGGAAAAGGAATGACTGTATGTATTGTGTGCATCAAATAAGCTTGTGACAGCGTACTTTGAGAGCCCTGTCGGGGAGCTCAGTATTGTGAAAAGCCTGAAACCCCGAAAGGTCTTCAGGAGCCAATGGATCCTGTTGGGCTGGATTCTACCACATTCCCAGAAACTGACAGCCTCGTCTAAAACTCTGGTTTCATGAAGTTATGTAGAGGTACCACTCAACATGAATAGTAATGAAAGATACCGCAGTTGCATGACGTTAAGGTTGTGGACTCAGAGTCAACTAGATTTTCATGCATATAACTGTCATCTAAGATAACCTGGATCCTGTCAAAAATACTATTTGTGGAAAATGAAGAGTCCCTTAACCACATCCTCCAACCTCCTGTAGGTTTAGCTCACTGAAAATACATTATCTTCAGTTGAAAGTGCTCTCCCCCTTTGCCAGTCCATCCTGTCCTCACAACATAGGTGGCCCAACTGTCTGTGTGACTGCTATAGATGAGATCAGGGAACTGAACTAACTTTAAAGAAAGCAACACCAAAAGAAAAGTTTCTTTTCTAGGCTCTGTGTGTGTGTGTGTGTTTTTAAAGCTGAATGGTTCCTTGGTACGGTTCACAGTGCAAGATCCCAGACAGCTGTGCTGGCACACCTGCAGCAATGAGTGACAAGAGCGAGGATGGTACGACAAGACCAAAAGCGAACATTGTCACTGAGACAAAAGGACAGCAAACTACTCTGCTAGCATAAAGCTAAAGTCAGGAAAGAAAACAGGGTATCAAAGAGAAGAGCTGTGTCGCTGTCACCTAAACACAGAAATCACATCTCTCTTTCTCTTTGAAGTTCCTCTGGAGCCTTGCAGTCTTCTTCCCTACTCTTCCACTGCCACCCTAATCTGAGAAAATGGCACTGCCTAATGACGAACATGAGTATTAAAATAAAAATTCATATCTGTACTGTGTATTAAAACTAAATAAATACAGATAATTTTAAGGAGATTATTATCTCCTCCCTTAACTATTCCGCTCTACAAGCTTCATAAATGACCCTTTGCTCTTTCCGTAAGGAAATACTCATTTAATCTTCCGTTACTCTTCTTAATGTCCCCTACTACACAATACCAGCCACCTTTGCTTGGAGATGATTTAACTGACTGGCATCTAATTAAACTCACAGTAACTGTCCTCAGCATCTCCTTAGGTTTCAAGTTTGCTTCTTCTACTTCAGTCCTGGAAAGGGCCTACGTCCCTGAAAGATTTTCTAGTTTTCCAACTATATAACTTACTTAAATGAAATAACATAATTATCTTGTAAACTGTAAAAACGAGTTTAAATTAGAATAGTTTGCAATGATACCACCATGGCTCTTACGATGGCTTACTATGGCTATTCCCCCTCTATGGCAGACAGGAAAGTTGTTTTCAGTAAAACCCACCAATGCTGCTTCTGGCTGCAGGAAATTACTGAGTTAAAATGGAGTCCATCAATATGTGTAGTCAAAAACCAGAGGGTCTCCATTTCTTTTCTGTAGTTATGGCTGCATCACTGAGCAGAACAGATTTGAAGAATTATTGGGCCAGAGAGAGCCACTAAACACTTACGAAGTTAAAAACTCCAAGGTAAGGCAGAGAAACTAATTTTAAAGCAAGAACCAGAATCCAAGTCTCTGCCGTTACAGATGTGAGCCCCGGGCACTAGATTACAGACTCACATCTCCCTGTATCAGCTCTTTCTGCCCCCATTTATCATCCTCTGCAGAACGGGACAGGAGGACCCAATGTCACACACCCACACGCACATTTCCTCTGCAACCGTGGGTCTGAAGTCCTTTGGGCTGGAGAAGAGCTAGCCCAAGCCAGTCTCCTCTCACTTCTCTGATGAGCACCCTAAACAGCTGGCTACTTTAAAATAGAGGTGTCATTTCCATCCCATCTTTTAAAATTAAAGGGTAACTCTTGGTTTCCTCTCTGAGCAATTTTAGACTTCTGCTCTCAGCTGCAGACCCCGGACTGTGGATGAGTAACGATGCCTCGTGTCCAGCCTGCCCACTCATTCAGTAGTAGAGAGAATTAAAAATGCAGGTCATGAGAATAACAGAATAATCAGTGAAAAAACTCCAAACGTATTACGCCCATAACAAGAATATTTCCAGTTTGCTACAGAACATCAAATATCTATTTAAGATAACTCTGATTAGCAGTCCAGATCCCATTCTTATTTTGTGGACTTTATTTTAACCTGTGGAGTTTAGTTAGTTAAAACCAGCTCTGATTCCGAGTTTGTACGCATTTGCTTTGCCAATGTTAGTGCTGTTCTCGCCATTGGCTCCAGCTGTACCTGCAGTCAAGGACAGGACTCGTTTGGTTGATGCCATTTTGTCAATGAAGGCCAACAGGCAACTGCTGCCATTTCTGAATGGTGACACATACCTGCCTCCCGGCCTCGTTGTTGTGCCGGTTCATGGCCGCCAGCCCGCTCCCGCTCTTGCCCGTCACGTTCTTAATGGGCACATCCAGGAACTTTCTGCTGAAGGACATTCCGTAGTGGATATCGTCGGAGCAGCCGCCCCAGTGCCAGCCCTCGCTGGCCGAGCCGCCGTGCCTCAGGCTCGTGTCGCAGGAGCACTCGGTCATGTTTCCTGCGCTGCACGACCGCGTCACCGAATGCACGAGGCCCGCTGACGTCACTGCGTATATGAACGCCGTCTCCTTCGTGCCTACAAAGCAAGGCACAAACATGTTACTTCATAACTCCCTCTGACTACCTTCCTGGTGGAGCTGTAGAAAGTGATTTTACAAGCCAGGCTATTATTAAAAGGGAACCGTTACAAGTTTAAAGCCATCACAGCTTGGTCTGTAGAGTTAACGTGTTTAAAGCGGTGGATATTCACATCCAAAAAAAGACTTCAGGGCCTCTTCATATGACTATGCTATTAATGGTGCTGTTTCTGGCTGCTTCTACCACGCGACTTTTGGTAACTCCTTTCTAAATCTGGTTGGGAACTTTATTTGCCACAGAAACTTTCAAGCCAATTAAGTTTTAATAATAATAATAAAAAAATCAAACCCAAAACAAACACCACCCCAAACTCCTTACTCTCCACTCTGCTTTCCACCATTCATATTGATTTGAAGAAGAAGAAAGATATTGATTTGAAGAAGGAGGAGGAGCTTGAAGCCGTCACAATCCCAGGTTACTTTGGTATAGGGCCAGAACTTACCTCATGCTTAATTTAGCAAACATTGAGGACGCTTTAATTCACAAAGGTTGCAAACAGCCCCAAGAATCTTAAACCAGGTGGAAATCGGGATGGCAGAAAGATATTTAGGCCACTTGCTTTTCCTAGAATTATCTGGCCATGGGAAAGACAGCAGTATAAAAAACCATTAAGTGTTATCTCAGAAGAATCATGGAGGGACCAGCCCACGCCTTTTAAGTCAGTCCTGTTCTCTGAGACTTCTGGCATAATGGGGAACAGATGTCTAGACCCTGTTGAGCAAGGTATACTCTCCAAGCAAACTGCAAATCAATGATTGGCCATTAACTGCAGCTAAAATTTCACTGTACTAATTTTCACTGTTGTAAAAACAATTTGTTATTTCCAGTCTACCAAATTTCTGCTCACAGGCAGGAAAGTTCCCGTTTGTTTCTCTGGTTCTTATTAGTTTGTGGTGCTGATACCATCCTAAAATGCTCCCACAAGACGTACTAGTGAAGCTTTGGGGGTTACCAGTGGCTGCAGGAACAGTCCTTCCCATTGGACAGCAGGACTAACATACAATACATACAGCTACATATAGTAGGGTAAACTTTTCCCCGGTCTTTTTTTCCTTTTCCTTTTTGGAATACGCATCACTTTTTATTGCTCATTTTACATTTGCATGGTTAACGTTTGGGTTTTTTTCACTGTTGTGTTGTAGTATAAAGTGAAGATTGCACAAACACAAAACGAAGTACTACACTGATGAAGTTCACATCAATGGCTACGCCAAAATTCTTGAGCAGAGTACTCGAAAGAAACTTGCAGGTTTGAGACCTTTGATACTGACATTTGATACAAACAAAATGTCCCTGTTTCAGTGGAAATTTCAGCAATGCGGTTATTAGTTCACGCAAGGAAAGCAGTGTTGGTCTTGCCCTGCTGAGCAGTACCACCTCACTGAGCACATATGATACATTTTAAAGCGATTCACACTGCATATGGTGCTGTGAGCAGCTTTTCACCTGCAGTCAAGTGACCTTTTCGAAATACTGTGTGTCATTACCCCGCTCATTTAGTAATTATGACATAAGGGGATAAACCCAGCAGCAGCCTAAGAATAACAACATTTCAACACAGTTAAGTGGATCTAGTTAAAGGCACTGTCACCCACGGGCGTATTAAGCAAAAATGACAAGAAGCAACAATAATTTTGCAAAGACAATGGCCAGGTTTTTTTTGTCTGCTCGGTGCATTTCGTCTACCTGTGTCAGCCTCCCGGGGCGGATGCGGTAACCACC